GGTCTGCACTGCCATGCTGCTACAATCATGTGATCTTTGTTTCCAATGTTTCCTGCCAGCTTCCCACTTATGCAGCCTTCCTGACCAATGTTGCATCACTTCTCTCATGCACCCCCATGGACTCTTACTGACCCATGCTATGGGTATAAAGATTTATTGTATTCCAATGATTCCTTTGGAGAAAAATAAATGGGAGACCAAGGCAGTCTGGAATGTCTTAGCCTCAGAGAAGACAGAACTGAGCATACCAAAGTGAAACATTTTGTTCCTTTTCTGTTGAAGAATTCTTCCCAAATAATAGACAAGTTGGCCTGCGTTTTGGAAACAGAACTGCTTCAAGGAATCTGATTTCCCTCTGTGCTATGTATCTAATTACAACAATCATCTTCCAAACCTTAGGCTGATTAAATTATAAGGATAATCTTTCTTATTTTACCATTTTAAAGCTTTCGTTTGCTTTAAAAACAAGGTTTCCCCCCACCTGATTCTTTTGTTCAGTTGTCAAGCTGATCTTGAAACTGCCTAGCTAAGCTCACAAATGAGTGCTATCCTCCATCTGGTAGTATAGAGCTGTCTCCAGAGAAACTGGACCTTACCATGTGTCTTGCCAGTCATTGAACTAACTGGGATGTTTTGCCCTTAGAATGATTCTTGTTTCCTTTATTTGCTCGATAAACTAGTTTGCTAATTTGGCTGCCTGCTAATGTAACCCTTTGAAGCTAATCCATCCGGTTTACTTTGACTTTGCTGCTGATAATTCATTACAATTCTATCCCTCTCACCCCTGTTACCATATATCTTCCATCAACTGTGCATCTCCATACTCCTTTCTTAACTTCTGATATAGCTTTCTGTGTTTCTCAGCAGTACCTTTCAGTGTTATTTTAATCTTTACTACCATTCCTTCCTGATTCATTCAATTTGTATTCCTTTATTTCCATTAAAGACATGCTTACAAAACAGAGGAAGTGCATCTATATTATAAGGTGCTTAGGAAACCTTTCCAATCTGACAGGCATTATTATTATTATTACTGTTGCTGCATCTATATTGATTGTACCAATATATTTCATATTGTGTATGCTTTAAGTATTTTTAGTTTGTTTTTTTTCCTTTAAAAATACCTAGGGCAAATACAATATAATCATAACCTTACACATCTAATGATCAAGAGTAATAGTGAAGAAAACTATTCAGTTAAAGTTTATTAATGAAACATAGCATTTATAATGTGCCCATTTGTAATGGGCACAATGAAACAAAATATTACACATTGAAAACTATTAAAATAAAGGTGGGGAAACCAAAAAGAGATAACAATGAATTATCCTTAAATTAAAAGCTCTGTCTAGCACAAGCTGAACCATTTTTTTCCTGGTAATCTTATCTGCTGAACTGAGAATTATTGCCATTGATTTCCAAAGCTTCCCCGGAAAGTCTTTTCATTAGTTATTAAGTACAAATGAGAGGAATGTCTTTGGTTCAGAATTACAGAGCTGGAAAAGATATGAATAAAGTAAAACTTGTACTATGCACAGTTACACAGCAAGAACTGGATCATGGAGCAGGATCAAGATTCTGGAATGGACCACCAAGTTAGTGGCAGCAAAGACCAGTTTAATTATTGGCTCAATAATCCAAACAGTCTTGTTGAGATCTTCCAGGTCTGATACTACTTACCACAACACTTTTTCTCCTTATTTTGTATGCAGCCTGGGGCAGAGGTTTTCAACCTTTTTCATGGCAAACGTTTCATGGTTCTTTCAGGTGCTGAAACCAGAAACCCTGTGACATCACAGGTTGCTGGGACCAGGGAGGAGAAATGGAGGCTGTTCAACCCAGGTAAAGTCATGGAAGTGAGATTCTGGCTGATGTAGTATATCTTCAAACCATTTGTGGCACATCACAAGAGATTGGTGGAGAGAGATTTGCGCTGCACCAGATAGTATACACATCTGAAATAAGATTATGTTAGCAGAGATACAGATGAGATAACATTATTTTCTGACACATTGTTTTCTAGGAAAAAAAAAAACCTAGGAAATTTAAGGGTGAAAAAAAGTTTTCACCTTAGGTGAGACATGAATGAACCATTCATTATAAGTGATATAAGGTAATTTCACAAAACATTTACACATTGTTTTTTTTTAAACTCAGTTTGTAAGTAATTGCATTACACTGTGATACATTTAATAGTTCCTCTCTCTAAATGTATTGGAAAACTCTTCAACTCATCCCCAAAGAAATGAAATGTTACAGCTTTACTAACTGATAGATAACACTAATTAAAATCTAACAAGTATGATACACCTGCTGTGTCCAATTTTCTATATGTGGTAGAACAGACTCTCAAAAACAATCAAAACTATCATATGGTATGTCCAAGAAACCCCTTTTATTGTTCTTTGTTGCTTGTCCTACATTACCAGGGTGGAACTACAGGAAAAAGGCAAGTATGTTTTGTGAATTATACTTCTTGACTGCAATGACTTAATATGAGGGAGGGATATCTTTGCAATTCAGTAAATGACAGACCCAGGAGGATCCTTCTTGAGGGTTGGTTTATCTGGATTATTCCTTTCAATAATGCTTGAAGGTCTGGGAATGGTCTTTGGGGGGACTCCTTAGAGGATTAGTTTTCTTCTTTTGGAGAATGTTTTCATAGTTACATCTTGTATAACACTTGCAATCATTCCGGGAACATGAGCTCCTTCTCAGTGATTCACACTGATGGTCAACTTTCACTTGGATTATTGTAATGCACTCTTCTTGTGCTACTTTTGAAGAAGCTACAGTTGAAATAGTATCTGCTGTCATGTGGTGATAAGTGCATCCCAGTATACTATGGGCATCCCACTGCTTCAGGAACCACACAGATTGCCAGTCAGTTTCCTGGTGTGATTAATGATGCTGGATGTCATCTATAAAGTACAATTTCAGACCTGGTTATGTGAGGGATTAACTTTTCCCATATTTAGTTCCCTGCCCTATAAAATTAAAAAGGTCCAATTCTTTTAATTTCCAACTCTTAATGGGAGACATCTGATGGAGCTTTGGAAGTGGATTTTTTTTTAATAGAAAGCCTCACATTTGGGAAATTCATTTGAGTGGATACCAAGCCAAATATGTTCCTGAATACCTTTGTTCTATCCAGTGCAGAAAAAGATGTTGCAGTTGTGATCCAAGTGAAAAATTGCTGAATTTTGTTGGCTTTATTTTTTTTGATTTTGAGTTATAATTTTATGTATCTTGTGTCTGTTTCTTCTTATTTATCAATGTTTTATTTTACAGGAAGATAGTCATTTTGAGCCTTTGGGGATTTGGAGGCATAAAAATAGAATAAAATAATAAAAAACCCAAAGAAATTCATCTGCTTGAAATTTTACCATAGATATTTCTCAGTGTTTAGATCTTTTATCAGCAATCCAGTTTTGCTGTGAACTTCACCCCATGCTGGTGAAAAGTAAAACAGTCCTGGATACTTAAAAGAAAATCAGATTTTAAAGAAGTATATATCAACACTTCTCCAATTTTGTTTATTCTACATATAATATTTAAACTTCTATGAGTTTGTTTATTCTACATATCATATATAAAGTTTTCCAATTGCTTTATAAAAAGAAGTTTAGTCTTTTAGTCCTCCACCTAAGGATGTTGGAGGGAGAAACATATGCATCATCACACTTTTTCTTTCCCTGACCATTCTACCTTTTCTGGTGCACTGTTGCATTATTTTTCCAGTTAACAAATCAAGAAGGTTTTTACTTCTAGCTCCAGAATAACTCAATTTATTTGGGAGCTAAGGATGAAATTAAATTTGGGGGCTGAAAATTTTACCGCAAAATAATGATAATATAAAAAACAATGACTTACTGCACATCTGCAATTATTTTTAAAAACACAAGGAAAAATAGAATGCTCAAGAAAAAAAAGAGTAATTAAAAATGTTTCGTTGGGTTTTGAATTACCAACCATCTATTTAAGAGAACAGAGTTATAGCCACTATGTTTATTTATCCAGTTTGCATACAGTGGTTCATTTCAAACAAGTGTCCATGGACAATGAACAATCATAAAACCAATTAAACCAGTTAAAACAGATTTTTTTTAAAAAAAAGTATAGCAGGCATGATACATTATAACCTACAGATATTAATATCACCAGGAAATGGGATCTTTTGCATTCTCAGATCTGGGCACATAAGTAAACCTTTAAGCCCTTCTCAAAACAAAATGGGACAACTTGCCATGGACAACTTGACACAGCTATCTCATCATGCCACGGCCATCCCACTGTGGCCCTCTTGCCACGGCCAACTTGCCATGAGATAGCTGGCTGCAGCAAACTCGCCATGGAACAACTTGCTGTGGGATAAATCCATGCAGGATAATTCAGTATGATAAATATTATCCGTCACTCTTTCTTCAACATTATTTCCATTGACAAAAATGGAAATAATGGAGGATAACATTTATCATGTTGACAGCTAAATGAATGAATTTCATATGTTCTTATGTTCAAGTAGATATATTTAAGTTGAGAATATGCTGGCCTTGACTGTAATAAAGGTTTGATTTGATTAATGTGAGAAGAGTCATTCCTTTATTTCATCTCATTGATCCCAGTTAACAATTTGTTTTCATCACTAATCTATAAATGAAGTCCGTGTCCCATTCATATATAAACAGTTATATGAAAAATGAATTACATTCTTACCACTCATGTACTTGAAATTAAGTCCTTTTCCCCACTAAGGGAAAGAAAGAAAGAAAGAAAGAAAGAAAGAAAGAAAGAAAGAAAGAAAGAAAGAAAGGAAAGAGAAAAAAAGAAAGATTCTTTCTATCTTGCTGTATTTTAACTATGGGTTCAACCTCAACATCAGAGAAGCATTATGATGTTTTACACAAAGAAGTCAGTGTTTTATGAGGAACACCCAAAATAGAAAGCAGTAAGCAGTGACATACTGTGAGTTTTCAAGCCCAAAAACATAAGTGCCTTTTATTGGCAGGAAATTGTCACTTCTCAAAGCTCTCAAAAGCTCTGAACTCAGGACTTCTCTTTCTCTTTTATCAGATATTTATTAACAACTTTTGTATTCATTTCTTCTAAAGCTAGAGGGTTTGGTGCCACAGGTAAGATTTATTTATTTATTTATTTTTCCACAGAAAAAAATATGTTCATGCCTTTAATTAAAAAAAAAAAAAAAATCAAAATTCAGCCAGCTTTGAATGAGATTTCTAGAAAGGCCAACTCCTTGTTTCTAAATCATGCTTGCTTACAAGTAATATATAGTTATTTAGAATATAATTTCAAAATCCAAGAAATTTATTTTGGCTTAGAATATAAATGTGTTATTATTATTGTGTTTTTTAATGCCACTTTCAAGGTACAAAACATTGTATTTTACCTTCCTTGTAAGAAACTCAGAAATAAGTCTGATTTCCACAAATACCATGTTTGGTAGAGATTATTGGTTATCTATTTATGTATATAACTCCATGGTGGATGATGGGATGATGAATACATAATTCTACTAGATGTACCGATGTGATCCAATTTGGTTATGTAAATTCTGAATGTCAATTTCACAACTCTGATTGCAAACCCTTACAACATAATTATTTGAGAACTTAATTGTGAAATTACAATACTAATTTACTAAAGATAAGGAATTCCACCTTTACTTCTGTCATGTTTTTTTAAGTATAACAGAACAAATGTTAATTAAGAGTATCAGAATTAAAGGAGCAATAGTTTTGAATTTATTCATAAAATCATATTTTGGCTTGAAGGAGGTTGAACAACAACAATAATTCTCAATATGTATGTAGTATGACTGAAAATGTATAAGAGATATAAATATAAACTTAGACCTTTGTTTTCACTGCATATACTTTTTGAATAAAAATCTAGTTTGGGTTACATCCAAAACACAATTCTGTAAGTTATCTAGCCTGTAATATTATGCAGCAAACTATTTTGAGTGGAAATATCTTCAAAGTAGATGTCCATAGAATTCTGCTTTACAAACAAACTGTAATATATTCTCAGCGCAACTGCCTCTGAAACTTGTAAACCGTTCATTGACAACAAAGCTATAATTAAAAAAAAATGGTTACACAGAATCATTGTTTTTATGTCAGGTATGACAGTACCATACTGCAGAATTTTGATCACTGTGTGCAGTAAACAAACAAACAGAAGTATGTTTCGCTGTGTATGTGACAAATAGAACAAGTAATCTACAGAAGAGTCAATCTGTTTTCTTCAAATATTTTTTTTCTAATCTAATACATCATACATTTCAAGAACCTACTTTTATCTTTAATGATAAAACAGTGTTGTAACACAAGTGGAACAACCTCATTGTTCTTTTGTTTGGTGGTTTTTGGTTTAATTGCAATGGGAAAACTTAACTTCAGGGTTTAATATTTTCCTAAATTCATCCAAATAATTTAGCTGGAAAATATTTTATTGTTTTAAGAAAAGATGTCTGGAATCTGTCATTTTTTGTGTGTTTATCCAGTTTATATGAGTATAAAATTAAACCTGAGGGCAGCAGCAGTATGTTTTGTGATTTCCTTCTTACAGGATATTTGTCAGTTTTTGTTTTTTTTTTAGGGGGAGGGAATAAATGGAAAATAGAAATGTGTTTCTGAAGTAGTATAAAGCATTAGAATCAGCCCTTGAGCAGTTAAAATAAACTGTTTTTCCTCTCTCTCTCTCTCTCTCTCTCTCTCTCTCTCTCACACACACACACACACACACACACACACACACACACACAGCACACAGAGAGACAGACTGTTATTATTTTTTATCATTTGTTATGCCTTATTTATTGTAAAAAAGTATTATATGTATTTAGTTGAAGTAGCATGTACAGTACTTGATAAATGGTTTTATAAATTCCGAGACCAAGCAAGGAAATATCTACCCTCATAATGAGTCTGTTGTGCTCTTTGTTGAAAGATATTTCACACATGAGTGAACAGTTTGCTTTCTCCTCATTTGATGACACATATCTAACTTCCCAAATGCTTATTTACCACTTGGTTATTACACATTAAGTGATGATTTACCCAATTACCCATATGAGGAATAAAACAGTCACCAATTTAGACAGTAAATATATTCATGAAGGATGGGGTTGTTTGATTGTAAATCTTCCTGGTTTAAATAACACCAGAATCAATGACAACATCCTATAACTGCTTGTTGCTCTGATATTTTGCCTTACTACAAATTTCTAGGATGCATCTGCTTTGATATTTCATGAACAAAATCCTGGATTAGTTAGACATTAATCTGATCCAGTAGGAGTCTTTCTTTCTTACGTAGATCCCAGAAAATTGAGGGCAGTGATTTGGGTTACAATAAGGAAGAAGTGCCAGGGAAACTTGCAGTGTAGGTATGTGTCAACCTTCAAGGTAGTTGAGATCATAAAACCAAAACCATGAATGCAAAAAATACTTTTGCGGTAAGGTTACAGTACAGAATTTTGGCAAGTCTGAAAGCACTTCATCCTTCTTCTGCCTTTGACTTCCAGAAAAGTAGGGAGTTTCCTTCTGAAATGTTTTCTCCCTTCCCTTCTCCACTGGACTCAGATTTATGTATGAGACTGCTGTCTAGGATGTGGCTCTTCTTCCTGTCTCCCAAGGTTATTCTCACAGCCTATTACAGTATAATCTTACATCACAATAAACAAGAATCACTTGAACCTTTTGGTATTTTTTTATATTACTCCAATGCATGCTTACAATGAAGGAAATTCCACTGTATGTAGCAAGTTTAATTTATTTTATTTTATTTATTAAATATTTATGTCACCCATCTCCTCTACAAGGTGACTCTGGGCAGCTTACAAATTATTGAATTATAATTTATTTCTGCTTCTTAATAAATATGCTAGGATTACAATTTTGACCATCACCGGCAAGACATTATGACATTTTTAATTTGGCTAGTCTTTAAAGAGTTTTATTTTACAATTTTCTCTAATCTGACTTTAATCTTTCCATGGGATCTGTTATTCACATACACTATCATTTTCCTTACCCCAAAAGTATCTATTTTCTTTACAAATAGGAAATGGAGCAATCAGCACACTTTATTTCTGCATGACTTTTTAATGAAATGATCAAGTATGCCAGCTGTTAATGATAATCTGGCATTTGAATGCAAATCTATTGTTATATTAAATAGCTTGTATAACTATTACCTGGATCTAAATTTGACTGGATGTTTGTCTGATTCTTCCTTTCTGCATAGCACATCAGTCATTTAAGGCTTTGTTCCACATCTCAGTTGGTTAAAGTAGAAGAAATCTCAAAAATATGGTAGGAGGGAAATAAATATTTTTCTTTCTTATTGGACATCATGGAAAGAGATGCTATGTTGGTCCTGCCATTGTGAGGAGCTCCTAGAGACACAAATACTTTGACACTTGTTTGAAGACAGATGGTTTTATCTGACACAGGAAGCAGACAGGGACAAACAGAAAGGGATAGGAATTTTATCTGAGGTGAGTCTCAAGCTCAAAGGATAGCTAAATTATTGGATTGTATTTACTTAAAAATATTCTTACTATGTTTTGTTTCTTTTGGTGTCTTCTTTGAAGTCCTATTGCAGATGCCATAAAAATGCTTAATTTGCCATTATTTACTTTCTCTTTTGCCTTTAGTTCCAGATTCCTTTTCCAAATGAGTTATGGGGCATTGTTTTAAAATATTTGAACTGTACTATCTGCAGAGTGTGCATATTATTTGCAAAAACTGGCTGCTCTTAGCTATTTGATCAATGAATTATTTCTGTTCATAGATAAAGTAAATGTTGATACTTTAGATAGATAGATAGATAGATAGATAGATAGATAGATAGATAGATAGATAGATAGATAGATAGATATAGATGATATAGATAGATGATAGACAGACAGACAGACAGACATGCGGGGTCCCTGGTGCTCTCTGAGCTTGCTTGTTTTCTTGCAGACATTTCATTATCATAACTAAGTAACATCATCAGTGCTAGTAAGGAGTGCTGTTTGCTGTCAGTTTATATTCTGTTGTCTTGCCTGTCTGAGTGGATGGGGATGGTCTTAGGGATTCTTTGGTCGGACTATTTACTAATGGCTCTTTGGCAGTTTCCTAATTGGTGAATTGCTTACTTGATTGTTGGTCTGAAGGTGACCTTGGAGTTAATCTATGCTGATTTGAATGCTGATTACTGGTGGAGAGGTGCTGGAGTCTTTTTCTCTTTAGGGCTGGTTGATTGGCTCTTTTGCATAATATACAGATGTCATTAATGACTATGTGTCTACTCATGGGTGATTTGTCAGAGTGCCAGCCTTCTAGAAATGCCCTGGCATTTCTAGATTTGGCCTGGTCTAGGATTGTCACATTTTCCCAATTGAAAAGATGGTTAAATATATATGTGAAATTAAAGAATTTTTGTCATGCCTTTTGACTGCCAGTTGGTGTTCATGGATGCATTCTGCCAGTCTTCTGCCTGTTTGTCCTACATAGTGATTGTTGCAGCTCTTACACTGTATATTGTAAATGACTCCTGTTTTTTCTTCTGAAAGAAAGATAGGTTGCTTAAATAAGCAATTTAAGCTTATTCAATCAAAATCTAATGCTACTTAAATTGGGATCTTTTGATACTTCATTTTTGGTTAGTCATGCTTTATAACCTTCTGCCTAAAGTATTGTATGTTATTTAAAAAGCAAAAAATACATAATGAGGTATCTTCTAGAGTTCTCTAAAATCAAAATTAACAAATCATGATTATGCCACAAGAACTTTTCCTCCTCTTTGCTAGGAGGTATTAGGTTTTGTTATAGAGGTTGGGGGCTATAATTATACCAGACAGTATGAATTTGTTAAGTTTTGCTCTTTAACTTCCAATACCTTCAGGTGGACTCACCTTTTGCCCATCTGTTTTATCTGCTTTGGTACACACAAAGCTAACATCTAATTGTTTTATGGACTTTTCCAGTCCATATCTAAATTAGTAGGAGAGGTCTATAAAATAGATAAAACTCAAAATCTCACAATCGTAGAAGAGGGAATATATATATACACATACACATATACAGGGAAAAGTGCTTTTGGAAAGGAGAAAAAAAAA